GGGTGCTAGCCATACATAAAACAAGTTTGGTGTGCTAGCCATACATAAAACAAGTTGAGGGTGCTAGCCATACATAAAACAAGTTTGGGGTGCTAGCCATACATAAAACAAGTTGAGGGTGCTAGCCATACATAAAACAAGTTTTGAGTGCTAGCCATACATAAAACAAGTTGAGGGTGCTAGCCATACATAAAACAAGTTGAGGGTGCTAGCCATACATGAAACAAGTTTGGGGCGCTAGCCATACATAATACAAGTTTGGGGTGCTAGCCATACATAAAACAAGTTTTGAGTGCTAACCATACATAAAACAAGTTTGGGGTGCTAGCCATACATAAAACAAGTTTGGGGTGCTAGATTGGATTATTCAGTTTTATTTCAGAAATACTTTGCTTTTAAATATATTACAAATTGCAATCTAATCTATCATACAGATTAGATTTGTTTGATCGATCAACATTCAGTTGAAAATATTCGACACATTGATGGCAATGATCATGGTGTCATCAGAAACCTTCTGCTTGATGCTGGTTTAATATCTAGTGAAGTCCTAGCTGTACTGGAACTAAGCACCTTGGCTTTCATTAGTGCTTAGCTCTTGTACCCCAAGAGCTGATCCAGCAGTGTTGTAAAACTTGAGACATTTCAGTGACTTAAAGTCCATTGCATCTTTATAGCGTAGATAGCTTGACTTTGATCAAAGAGGCAGGCCGCCATAGATTCATTACTCTAATCCACCCAATACGTAAGTCAAACTTCAATCAAGACTATTTGAGCACATATTTCAGCCGCAATTTACCAATCTAGCTACAATACAAACATAAATCTAAACAACATCTTCGCTGGTGTGGCTCCCTTTTACATTCCCTCTAGGTCGAGAGCCTGGGAGAGGAGCCACATGGACCCAGAGTTTCTTTCTGGCATTTCATGTCTACCGCCCTTCGAACGAAATAGAATTTAAACACAATATAAATACTTTTACTAGTATCCGCCCTGCGGAAAATTTAGTCCGCTTAACCCCCCCCCCCCCCACCTAAAAATTTCAAGTGTCCCGCCCCCCATGAAAGAAACACTGCATTGACCCAAGGTGATGGGGGCTTAATGAAAGCTTTGGCCCAACCCTTTTCAGTTTCAACCACCATCTCTATTTTAACCTACCAAAGGAAGAAAGTCCGAATCTCTACTCACCTCAGCCATCTTCATCCCCCCACTAATCAAATCAAACGAACACGCTAACTGATTAGCCTTCACCAGATTCTACTACACAACTATGGACCAACAGTTTGGGTATTTCTCAGCCGACAGTTTTAACAAAACTACACAGCACCACCAAACAACACAGACCCTACACAATTGAATTCCCTATTTTCCAGAAGGACAACGTCTGCGGTACCCCCAGATGGCCATCCCCCCCCCCCCCCCTACCCCCCTCACTCAGCAACGAGACAATCCTAAATGCACTTAGAACAATAAGAAAAACAGAACCTACAGTCACTTGAGTCCCACATAATCGCAGCCTCGCCATACACACGGACAGCCATCCCACAATACATCAAAAATAAAAAAAACGCACTACCAAAAACGAAAAACGAAGAAAGCGACACCTGAAAAAGGCGAGACAACAAAGACAGCAAAAATCACCTATACAGACATCTGAAACAACAGCAGCCACTCTACGGGAAAAATAAGCAACAATCAAACAGCTCTTACAATGCAACGGTAAAAGAAAACAACGTAGAACGGTTTTCTCTTTAAGACGGAAAAATCAAGCGACAACACAAGCCTATCAGTGAACCTGGAAACGAATACGTCATAGTCCTACCAGGAACACCTGTCTCTCAGACATACAGACACAAAGTGCTGATACTGTCTACAACATGAAGACATCAAACAAAATTTTTAATCATTGCCACCACTGCCACCACTATCACCACCAACACAATACCACCACTACCACCACTACCACCACTATCACTACCAACACAATACCACCAATACCACCAATACCACCAATACCACTATTACCACCACTACCACCACTACCACCACTATCACCACCAACACAATACCACCAATACCACCAATACCACCAATACCACTATTACCACCACTACCACCACTACCACCACTGCAACCACTATCACCACCGACACCACTACCACCATTACCACCACTACCACCACTACCACCACCGACACCACTACCACCACTACCACCACTACCACCACTACCACTATTACCACCACTACCACTATTACCACCACTACCACCACTGCCATCACTACCACCCCTGCCACCCCTGCCACTACTGCAACCACTACCACCTCTGCCACCACTGCCACCACTAACACCACTACCACCATTACCTCCAATACCACCACTACAACCATTACCACCGCTACCACCACTACCACCACCATTATCACTGGCACCACTACCTTGACTAAGTAAGACTTTGTAAAACCCCACACAACATAACACCCAGATGAGATCACCTATCAATGCGCCTACTGTTATGCAAGACATACCCAGATAACAAGAATGAAACTGCACCTAAAACGACCCAAACCAAAATGTAATCTATCAAGCTAGCAACAGACAACAGGGGAAGAATAACATACGTCTATACCCGCATAGACAACAGTAAGATACGTCTATACACGCACATACAACATGGAACAGTAACATACGTCTACGCTAATGACCTAAAGGGCGATAACCAAATCTCCACCCCTACAAAATTTACCTTCTTATTTCTACATTTTGTATTCACTCCCTACCATACATGCACCTCTACTTAATTCTCACCGTGAATACACCTATTATCTCACCACTACAGCCATTTTCTTTACGTTTTGTATTATGTATGAACCTCTGTTCCCATGAGCCTAATCACCTAGATATTTAAAAAATATTAGAAAATTGAAATATGACGCGATAATATAATGAAATGTATGATGTATGTATGCTCCTTTATTGTGTCATGCTCCTGTATTGTATATATGCTCCTGTATTGTATGTATGCTCCTGTATTGTGTGTATGCTCCTGTATTGTATGTATACTCCTGTATTGTATATATGCTCCTGTATTGTATTTATGCTCCTGTATTAAATGTATGCTCATGTATTGTGTGTATGCTCCTGTATTGTATGTATACTCCTGTATTCTATATATGCTCCTGTATTGTATTTATGCTCCTGTATTATATGTATGCTCCTGTATTGTATGTATGCTCATGTAATGTATGTTTACTACTGTATTGTACGTATGCTACTGTATTTTATGTATGCTACTGTAGTACCATGTAAACTGCTTGTACTGGATGACTCCTGGCTCGAATGTGGTACATGGTATGAGAGGAAGAATACAGGTAACCAAATCAAAATAGTAACAGATTGTGATGTCATCGGTGAGGTTTTCAAGGAAATCTCTCTATTATAAAATGATTCAGTTGAGGTTCTCAGCTGTGATAAAAACCCACCAACACACACGAAGATTGTAACCCAAAAAGAATTGTTTGTTTCTTCAAGTTTTCCATGTGTTTGTTTTTTCTGTGCCAAGATAAAATATATAATCAAAAGCCACACCGACACAAAAATATTTCAATAAACGTAGGTGTTTCTTCGTTTTCTAGGCTAGATATAATTGTTAAGAGAGAGATAGGGGCGCGCGTGAGTGTTTGTATTTGTATGAGCGTCCGATGTTTGTGAGTACGTGTGTGTCGACGTGTGTGGGTGTCTGCATGCCAGAGGCGTAGCGACTCATCCCGTCGCCCGGGGACAAACTTTCAATTTGGCGCCCTCCTCCTTATACTTTTTTATATATATAATTTAAAATAGCAGCTAAAATGAGCTAATTTTGACGCCCCTAGGGTCGGCGCCAGTGGCATATGTACCCCCCTCCCCCCGTCGCTACGCCTCTACTGCATGCGCTTGCGCGTTGGTGTGTATGTGCGTAAGTTTGTGTGCGTTCGTTTGTGCGCGTACGTGTGTATGCGTGCGTTTGTGTGCTTGTGTGTGAGACTGTGTGTGTATAAAAAAATCCTAGGTAAACTACTACATGTCTTTGCAAACGCTTCCCAGTATTCCTCCATATAGCATTGTGTCTCTGTTTATTACGTGTAAACGTGTGTGGTAAATTTTGAAGAAGTAGCTCTCGTACAAGTTTTTTCCTGAACCTCTGTGCGATGATTGATAGTGCCGTAAAGTTTCTTTCATCTACAGCGATATAGCAGATATCGGGAACTGAATTTTTCAGATCTGCAACAATTTGTTTTAAACGTTATTTTTACCACTAAATAACTTATTTTATGCCAAAAAATTGTTCTGGAACTTTCGAAGTATGAATCTCATAAAAGATTATATTTATTTTATTAAATGGCGAGGTGGCCGAGTGAGCTTACGGTTACTTGCCCCTAAACGCTTGTGTTCGAAACTCGTATACGGACCTTATGAAACTTCGGATTTGATCTGATTTATGGAGGGCAAATACGGCTTTCCATATGATGGCCGCGAAAGCAGTTTATTTTCCTAGTAAAAATCACCAGAAAAACTCTACTTCACATGCAGAGGTATAAGTAAAAAAAATTTTTTTTTTTTAAATTAAAAAAATTAAAAAATAAGTTTTTTTCTATTGTGAAATACCTCCGTGCACTGTGTGTACTTGTCGGTAAAGGTAACCTCTTTGTTGTAGACATTTAAAACTGTTTATCTACCTGTCATTTAGGCTACGAAATAAATGAGAGCTCTCACTTCTCTCCCTACGTGAATCTATTTTTATTTCCTCCCTATCTTGTATCAGGTCCCATAACTCACGCTATCCGACTCTGTTTTCAGCGAGGGGTTGTCTGCCCCCACGCGCGGGGCGTCAGGCCAAGCAAATCTTTGCTTATTTCTCCCGTGCGCACTGACCCACGGCTGCTAGACTAGATCACGTGGTACCCGTCTATTCACAGTGTCTGTCTGACTGGACCATCATTTGCTGTGCACATTGGAACCCCGTTATTCCCAGAGTAATTCCATTCTATAGGAACTTCGACTAGAGTCTGTTTTACAACAAGAAATTTCATCAGACTTGGCAAGTAAGTTCATTCTTCTTAAGGTTAAAGAAGTCAATAATAGGAACTTTGTTTTCTTGCATCAGGCTTATAAATAGTTGTACAAATATCAATAGTTTATGGACTGAAGTAAGGACATGGGCTTGATACTTAAGTTGTAGACGTTGTAAACTTCATCATCAATAGGGAGAATCTTGTAGAAAAGACTGTGTGGATTCTCGTACACATTGTAAATGGGTACACTGGTGTACACATCAGCAATGTTAAGATTCACGTACGCAGACATGTGTGCACATTAGCAGAATGTAGATTATTGTAGATTCCTGTGTACATCATAATCTGTGTGCACACGATCAGTGTTTAGACTGATGTACGTTTCATCAATGTTTAGACCCTTGTCCACATCATCAATGTGTAGACCCGTGTCGACATCATCAATGTTTAGACCCTTGTCCACATCATCAATGTTTAGACCCGTGACCACATCATCAATGTTTAGACCCTTGTACACATCATCAATGTTTAGACCCGTGTATGCATCATCAATGTTTAGACCCTTGTACACATCATCAATGTGTAGACCCGTGTACACATAATCAATGTTTAGACCCGTGTCCACATCATCAATGTTTAGACCCTTGTACACATCATCAATGTTTAGACCCGTGTCCACATCATCAATGTTTAGACCCGTGTCCACATCATCAATGTTTAGATCCGTGTCCACGTCATCAATGTTTAGACCCGTGCCCACATCATCAATGTTTAGACCCGTGTCCACATCATCAATGTTTAGACCCGTATCCACATCATCAATGTTTAGACCCGTGTCCACATCATCAATGTTTAGACCCGTGTCCACATCATCAATGTTTAGACCCGTGTCCACATCATTCCACATCATCAATGTTTAGACCCGTGTCCACATCATCAATGTTTAGACCCGTGTCCACATCATTCCACATCATCAATGTTTAGACCCGTGTCCACATCATCAATGTTTAGACCCGTGTCCACATCATCAATGTTTAGACCCGTGTCCACATCATTCCACATCATCAATGTTTAGACCCGTGTCCACATCATCAATGTTTAGACCCGTGTCCACATCATCAATGTTTAGACCCGTGTCCACATCATTCCACATCATCAATGTGTAGACCCATGTCCACATCATCAATGTGTAGACCCATGTCCACATCATCAATGTTTAAATCCAGGTCCACATCATCAATGTTTAAATCCAGGTCCACATCATTAATGTTTAGACCCGTGTCCACATCATCAATGTTTAGACCCGTGTCCACATCATCAATGTTTAGACCCGTGTCCACATCATCAATGTGTACACATCCACTCTGTATGCACCTCTTCCTAAAAAAAAATTACATTATTTCTTCGCTAAATTCAAACAACACTTCCCGGAAATAATTCCCTAGGTCCTCCGCCCCCCTTGGAGATACATTTCACGAAATTAACTTTGAACAGCCCTTACGGGAAATAAACCCTTGAAAACCCCCACCCAACCCATTCCCTAGCATAAACGTATGGACATTAACCCAGGCGCCAGAACGTATGTAACGGCAAAGTGAAATTTAACAAGAAGAAAATGTATTGATAAGGGTAGGGGTGTGTCATGGTAAGATTGTGTCCAGGGGCTCAATGTCGGAGCTGTATCCAGGGGAGGGGTGGGTTTAATCCCGTGGGTAGGGGTCTTCACTAAACAGTTAACCCGTAGTGGTGATGATGGGGGGGGGGGGTGACCTGAAGTGGCAAAACTGTAACATAGAGGGGTTTTCTTTATTGTATTAAATTCAGAGAGCATGTAAGATTAACAGAAATGTGTGGTAATCTGCTTGTAACTTCTTTGGTTCTCTAAGCATACATGTAATTTCACAGTATTTCTACCGAATAATTTCACAGTATTTCTACCGAGTAATTTCACAGTATTTCTGCGTGTAATTTCACAGTATTTTTGCGTGTAATTTCACAGTATTTTTGCGTGTAATTTCACAGTATTTCTGCGTGTAATTTCACAGTATTTCTGCGTGTAATTTCACAGTATTTCTGCGTGTAATTTCACTATTTTTTGTATACTCTTACTTCCAAGTTCTACAACTTGTAAGTTCACAGTTCTGTTTGTTCATCTGTTTGTGTTGTGGTTGCAAGCATGCCTTGACTTTTATCATGTTTACACCATGTTCCTAAAACATCTCGTTGGTTAGCTAAATTATATCGTTAATTAGTTAAAATATCTCGTCATTATTTTTAGACCAGACCCTGGACCCATGTGGAGAAGGTATCTCCTTCACGTAGCCAAGTCTATATTTAGATACAATCCAAGATTGCTGCTATTTACGCTAACTAACTTTCATTAGCTCCCAGCATTATAATCATCCCAGTGCCTTGTTTTAAAACTTGGCTTTTCTTGACTTAGACGAATATTTCTTAAAACCGTGGCGTGCACTAAATGGCAGGGAGCAGAGATAACTGTCCTAAGGCTGTTAGAGAAATATTATTTTAATATCGTGTTACCTCGGGAAATAAAGCAGCTCCATAGACGGTGCAGTTGGGACAGATATTCCATTGTAAGGGACGTAACTTGGAGCAGATGTAGGGGTGCGAGAGAGAATTGCTGAGGATGTTGTGTCGGGGTGTCTGGTCAATCTGGTCAGTTAGGCCAATGTGGTCAGTTAGGTCAATGTGGTCAGTTAGGTCAATGTGGTTAGTTAGGCCAATGTGGTCAGTTAGGCCAATGTGGTCAGTTAGGCCAATGTGGTCAGTTAGGCCAATGTGGTCAGTTAGGCCAATGTGGTCAGTTAGGCCAATGTGGTCAGTTAGGTCAATGTGGTCAGTTAGGTCAATGTGGTCAGTTAGGCCAATGTGGTCAGTTAGGTCAATGTGGTCAGTTAGGTCAATGTGGTCAGTTAGGTCATTGTGGTTAGTTAGGCCAATGTGGTCAGTTAGGCCAATGTGGTCAGTTAGGCCAATGTGGTCAGTTAGGCCAATGTGGTCAGTTAGGCCAATGTGGTCAGTTAGGTCAATGTGGTTAGTTAGGCAATATGGTCAGTTAGGCCAATATGGTCAGTTAGGCCAATGTGGTCAGTTAGGCCAATGTGGTCAGTTAGCTCAATGTGGTTAGTTAGGCCAATGTGGTTAGTTAGGCCAATGTGGTCAGTTAGGCCAATGTGGTTAGTTAGGCCAATGTGGTTAGTTAGGCCAATGTGGTCAGTTAGGCCAATGTGGTCAGTTAGGCCAATGTGGTCAGTTAGGCCAATGTGGTTAGTTAGGCCAATGTGGTTAGTTAGGCCAATGTGGTCAGTTAGGCCAATGTGGTCAGTTAGGCCAATGTGGTCAGTTAGGTCAATGTGGTCAGTTAGGTCAATGTGGTTAGTTAGGCAATATGGTCAGTTAGGCCAATGTGGTCAGTTAGGCCAATGTGGTTAGTTAGGCCAATGTGGTCAGTTAGGCCAATGTGGTCAGTTAGGCCAATGTGGTTAGTTAGGCCAATGTGGTTAGTTAGGCCAATGTGGTCAGTTAGGCCAATGTGGTCAGTTAGGCCAATGTGGTCAGTTAGGCCAATGTGGTCAGTTAGGCCAATGTGGTTAGTTAGGCCAATGTGGTCAGTTAGGCCAAAGTGGTCAGTTAGGCCAATGTGGTTAGTTAGGCCAATGTGGTCCGTTAGACTAATGTGGTCAGTTAGGCCAATGTGGTCAGTTAGGCCAATGTGGTTAGTTAGGCCAATGTGGCCAGTAAGGCCAATGAGGTCATTTAGGCCAATGAGTTCAGTTAGGCCAATGTGGTCAGTTAGGCCAATGTGGTCACTCAGATAGATTGGGTCAATCTTGTTAATCTGGTCAATCTGGTCGTTGTGGCCAATCTGGTCATTTTTATCAACTTGGTCAGCCTGGTCATTATAGTCAATTTGGTCAGTTAGGCCAATTTGGTCAGTTAGGCCAATGTGGTTAGCTAGGCCAATGTGGCAAGTTAGGCCAATGTGGTCAGTTAGGCAAATGTGGTCAGTTAGGCCAATGTGATCAGTTAGGCCAATGTGGCAAGTTAGGCCAATGTGGTCAGTTAGGTCAATGTGGTCAGTTAGGCCAATGTGGTCAGTTAGGTCAATGTGTTCAGTTAGGTCAATGTGGTCAGTTAGGCCAATGTGGTCAGTTAGGTCAATGTGGTCAGTTAGGTCAATGTGGTCAGTTAGGCCAATGTGGTAAGTTAAGCCAATGTGGTCAGTTAGGCCAATGTGGTCAGTTAGGCCAATGTGGTCAGTTAGGCCAATGTGGTCAGTTAGGCCAATGTGGTCAATTAGGCCAATGTGGTCAGTTAGGCCTATGTGGTCAGTTAGGCCAATGTGGTCAGTTAGGCCAAGGTGGTCAGTTAGGCCAATGTGGTCAGTTAGGCCAATGTGGTCAGTTAGGCCAATGTGGTCAGTTAGGCCAATGTGGTCAGTTAGGCCAATGTGGTCAATTAGGCCAATGTGGTCAGTTAGGCCTATGTGGTCAGTTAGGTCAATGTGGTCAGTTAGGCCAATGTGGTCAGTTAGGCCAATGTGGTCAATTAGGTTACTTTGGTGGATTTCGTCTGTCATATCAATTTTTTCAATTAGATCCATTTTGTCAAACTGAGTATTAAATTTGTGAAATCGTTAAAGTCTGTAATTATAAAATACACACACAAATCCTCACTAAATTTTAACTAAGAAGTATCGAGACAGACGAAATGGATGGAAAAGGGGTCATGTGAACGACCTTGATCTCTAGGCACCCGTGGCCATTTTTCGTCTGGCCAAGGTCATGTCTGGGAACTTATAAAACAAGAGATCTTATTTCCTGGCATAAAGATTTTTTTCTTTAACTAAATAATAATTTGGCTGCTTTATGGGATTGGAATCACCTGATACCTCGGGCCTTAAGAAAGCTTTTGGTCATATGAATACAGTTTTAGAGCAAGTGCTTCTGTATTACCAGCAATTGTGATCGACGTTACTTTTTGCCGACTGTGCAAACCATCGTCTGCTG